ATGGAAATCTAATAAACCTAATTCAAATCTGGAAATCTGATTTAAAAACTTAAAATATGTATTTTATCTTTGTATATATGTATGTATCTCTCTCTCTCTCTCTCTCTCTCTCTCTCTCTCTCTATATATATATATATATATATATATATTGTTTGTAGCACCACAGAAGAGGAATCAAACTAAATTAAGTATCAAATTAGTCAATAACATGAATCATGAATGAATGGGGATAGAAAGTTCCAAATGAAAAGTGTTTTCAAAATAATGGAAATCCCAAAATTAATGGCTAAATGTAATATATGTCCAGATCGGATATGTACCTAAATGGTGCAGAATAGGGCAAGAATTGTTCATAGGATTGGGCTACGTTACAGTCATCTTGACGGCACTTGACAACAATAACAACGACAACACAGAGCTACCTTGGCCTACTGGACAAGTTAAGCTACCAAGCCCATGATGGGTGCTTTTAATCTGCGGCACTCAGGTCTGGTTAAAATGAGTTTTTGTCAAATATTCTTCTATGTGGTATAGCGCTGGTCTGTGCATTGCTGTACAGAGGTAACTCGTGGTTGCTGTGATGCTGAACACTGTGACACTGATGTGCCAAATGCGATAATGGTTATCCATGGTGTATGGTGGAGCTTCCTGATTAAAACAAGCTTGGAAGCAGGAGTGGCATCCACTTCCGAAATGGCTTGCCTCCAGAAACTCTATGAACAGTGCTCAGGTCTTTATTTGATAGGCTTGCTATGAGTTGTCTGTGACTCGACGGCACCTAACAACAACAACATTAACAGTGTTAAAACAGATTCTTTTTAATGAGGCTATAATAGCTTACCTGCATGCAAGACAAATACATCCCAGTCATTGGTTGCATTGTAGACATAAGAGTCTCATGTGGGAAAAAGGAGGGCAGCCCATACCCTACAATTTAACTGCACCAAACTGTGTCCAAATGGATAAAATATAAAAATATTGTTTGTGGCATCACAGAAGAGGAATCAAATAGAGCGAAGTATCTTATTAGAGTCAATAAAATGAGCCATGAATGAAGGGGATAAAAAGTTCCAAATATTGGAGCTCTAGTGGCCTAGTGGCAAGGAGCTGCACTGTAATCCCAGAGGCACACAGTTCACATCCACCAGATGCTCTGCTGGAAAAGGAGGGACAAACTCCTCCTGTACCAGTCAGATCCGATTTGACGGTACATATACACAAAAATAATAAAATAAAAAAAACATTTTTAAAAAGTTCCAAATATTATTTCAAAATAATGAAAGTGCCCAAAACAAATGGCTAAATGTAACGTATGTTCAAATGGGATATATACCCAGTTTTGTGCTAAATGATGCATGATAGCGCAAGAGTTGTTCATAGGATTGGGCTAAGTTATAATCAGCTTAACAACACCTAACAACAATGAAAGTACAAACTTATCTTAGATAAGAGTGTAGATATGAAGGGATGTTGTGGTTAGACTTCCTTTATGCCATTTGTGACCTGTGCTTCTTGGAGAGAGGGTCTTCTAGCCTGTAATTTGTAGGAAAGCAGAGGGCCAGGTCTTTTCTCCCGCAGAGCAGCTGGGTGAGGTCCTCTGTCAAGGTTTCTCTCCATTAAAATCACCAAAAATAGAGCAGAAAACAAGGGGAAACAAAATAGGAACAGGATTCTCTCATCAAGAAACAGGATAAATCTGTACCACCCTGTGCAGAACCAGACACCAAGACAAATGACACAGAAAATCTACTAAGAAATCACAAGAAGAATGTCAATTCAGTAAAAGTGTATTTATTTAGTAAATAGTGCTTCCTCAAATGACCATCCTGGGATACAAAGGTCGTAAAAGTGGGATACAAGAGAATGACACTTGGAAAATTATATGACCCATAGAAAACAACAATTCAGAACTATCCTCATTTTATTTAAGAAGGACAACATTCAGCCCTTGAAATGAGCAATTATTTCATACAGACAGCCTTAGAAACTTAAGGAAGTTTAGGGAAATCAAGAGAAAGTGTATGACAGAATGTGTGTGTAGGTGTGTGTGTGTCAGTGAGCAGAGGAGGACAAGTGTGTATGATTTTAACCCAAACTCAAACCTAACTTGCTATCGTGGATCCATTCTCACTTTCGTGACCCTCCATCAGGTGCTGAGCTTGGACATTTGTGTGGCAGCAGAGTGCCTAGCTCTCTGGCCCAGAGCTGCTGTGGGCTTGAACTGCTGACCCTATGCCTTCAGGGCTTCCTTGAACTTGTTGAGGCAAAGATGAAATAGAATACTTAACCAGACTGCTAACGTGCACCAACTTGGTGAAGACTGAGGGGGAGAAGTGTGTGAATGTGCAGCAGAGAGGGCACTTGACAGGACAGGACTTTCCACTTGAATAGTGTCATGTGTGAACCCTAGTGGCACAGTGGTTCAAGCATTCACCTGCCTACCACCAGAAAGGCAGTGTGAATGGACCAGCTGCTCCAGGGAAGAAAGATGTGTTTGTCTGCTTCTCAAAGATCAAAATAAGTCTCATTGACGTTAGGTTGACCCTTTAAAGAGTACGATTGAGGAAACTCTATGGGGCAGATTTACTCTGTCCTGCAGGGTGGGATGTGAGGTGTGTGGGTCTGCGTGTCCGTTAGGGTGGGATGCCCTCAGAGACGGGGGTGTGAGGTGTGTTGGTCTGTGTGTCCTGCAGGGTGAGATGCCCTCAGAGACAAGGGGTATGACGTGTGCAGGTCTGTGTGTCCTGCAGTTTGGATGTCCTCAGAGAAGGAGGGTATTAAGTGTGTGGGTCTGTGTGTCCTGCAGTATGGAATGCCTTCAGATAGTGGTGTGAGGTGTGTGGGTCTATGTGTCCTTGGGGGTGGGATGCCCTCAGAGATGGGTGTGAGGTGTGCAGGTCTGTGTGTCCTGTAGTGTGGATGTCCTCAGAGACAGGAGATATTAGGTGTGTGGCTATTCACAGGGTGTGGCTATTCACGGGGTGTGAAGTGTGTGGGTTTGTGTGTCCTGCAGGCTGGGATGCCCTCAAAGACAAGGGGGTGTGAGGTATGTGGGTCTGTGTGCATGTTTTATTTACCAGTCTACATAATGTGTACTGTCATTGTTTCCAGCTGTTTAAATTATTTGTAAAACGATGAGTACAAATCTAGAAAACTCAAAAGCAAAGAATGAGGACCACATATTTTTAGTGGATAGATGGAAGAGATAAGGGCAGTATCGATAGAATTGGACAAGAGTTCCCTAAGAGGAAACAGATCTGGGATACACGGAGACAGCCACAGTCACAGAGACCCCAAAAGGTCTATGTGTGCATCTGTGACCCTGTCCTTGTATCCCAGCGAACAAGGATATAAAGAAGGAGACACACAGGGCTTTTCATGGGACAAGGGACAACAGTAACGAAATATATCTGACAAGTGATTCTGCCTATGATTTTAACATTAAACAAATCTGTATTTTAGAGATGGTATACAAATACTCTCAGAGCTTTGAATGTTCTAAACATCAGAGATACATATTTTAAATCAACTTTGTCAGAACGTTTTTTAAAGAGCGCATCACAGATTGTACAAAGCAGATAGAGTGGATTTCCCGCATTTCCTTGGGCGCAATGAGCTCTTCTGGTCTGTGTAACTGAAAATGTTAGTAAAACAATGTTGTGAGTGTGTGTAATGTGACCTCCAAAATGTCTACAACTATCTGAATAAGGTGGGACACCTTGTGTGATTCTCACACAGCTCTAGAAGGTTCAGTTTCTCTTAGAATCCTGCTTCCAGCTTTTCCCTAGACTGCCCCGCTCAAAACCCACCCTTGGACCTGCAAGTTTCTCAGGGCTCAGCATGGAGGAAGGAACCTGGCACAGATTTCTTAGGAAAACATTCTGCCTGAAAGATTTCAGGAAGTGGGTCTTCCCCAGTCAGCATCTCCCCTTGGAAATGCCAGCTTCTCCCACTCTGATACCTCTGAGCAGCTCTGATCTTTTCTTTGGAGCAAAAGGACATGTAGACTTGAATCTTATGAAGCCTTCGCTGCTGTCCGGGTCCCATGCTGTTTCTCTCAGGATCCATCCCTATCGTGAGAAACACAATCAGAGCAGCCTGTGAATGGAGGCACACACTCTGGAGCCCCTGTCCTCCCATGTGATCCCTGAAGTCTTCCCTGGGACAGGAGGGTTCTCACCTCCCGGAAATGGACACACCCCATATCTACAGGACCTTCTCCAGACCTGGGACTTGATGCTGCAGCTGAGAATTGGGCCTTTAGTCCACTAAAAGGGGACCTGAATGTGCCCCTTCCACCCTCACCTCTGGCCATCTGTGCTCAGGTGTGTCCTCTGGGTGTGGAAGCCACGTCCTGTCTTCTGCTCCTGGCACCTCATTTAGGCTTTTCTTCCAGTTCTTGGTCTCAAGATAGGTCACGTTATACCAAAGGGGGAAAACATAGCAAGTTATAATAAGTAATTTGTCAAAAAATGAAAGAGCACACCCACCACCACCACCACCACCCCCACCAAACAAACCCCAGAGTAAAAGTAGTCTTGAAAAGAAAAAACCCCAGGTTTGACCCCCTCTTTCTAGGTGTCCTCAAAGCCTGGCAGTGCTCTATTCCCTCTACTATAAAGAACCCATTAATCCATTCTCCACCCTCCCTAAGAACTACCTCTGTAGACCCCAGCTCCCAGCACCCTGTGCCCCCTGGACTCCCATTCCTCCTTCCAGATGTCCACTGTGCTCCTCTCAGCGTCCCTAGACCTCACCGTCTGGAAAGTCTCCTCCTCCCCTGCTCAGACCAGTGGACCCTCCAGGTGGCTGTGTTCTCTGAGGGCAGGTGTCTTGTGGGTCCTTAATTCAGGTGCTCTTCAGGTGTGTGGGTGCAGGCACAGTGTCTAGAAGGGGCGGGTCTTACAGGGAAAGGGAAAAGCAGGCTGAATGGAAGTCTGTCCAGAGGGGCTCCCCTTTGCCCAGCCCACACGGGGCCCCGCTCCTACCAGTCCGGGGTTCTAATGGGTCTTCAGGCGCTTTCCCCTTTGCCCTGGACCATCCAGGGCCTCTTCCTTCTCCAATTGCTGCAGCTCCTTCCTGGCTCTCTTCAGTTCCTCCCTCTTCTCCTTCAGCTGCTGCTTCAGGCTCTTGTAGGTCTCTGTCATCTTCTGGATCTCCCTTTTCTTGCTGTCCAGCACGAGGCGGCTGTCCAGCTTCTGGGCGCGTCTAGGCCTGTGAGGGGCTGAGGGCTCCAAGCGCTTCTCCAGCACTTCTTCGAAAAAGACCCTGCAGCTGAAGCCCTGCTTCACCCCATGCTTCGCGTGGTGCACCAGAGCCCTCCAGGATGGGAACACTCGGCAACATGCCATGCACCTCACACCGTGTGCACATGTCACCATCCAGTCTGGGCAAGTGCCTGGGGGTGTCTGCTGATGGGCCTCTCCCGACACCGTGGGCTCCGTGGGGCGGGCCTCTGGTTCCTCCTGCCCAGGCTCTGAGGAACTGAGTAGAGACTGAGTCTTGTGGAGACTGGGGGCAGGGCCGATGGTGCTCTCATCTGACAGCTCCCCCTCAAAGACCTGGGGCATCTCGCCCACCGGCTCAAAGGAGCTGCGGGTCTGCCAGGCCACGGCCAAGCCCTGGATGGTGCGCACCTGCGTGGCATAGGCGCATCTCACCCATCTCTCCTTAGGAGCTTCCCCATAGGTGGACGAGTGATCGGTAATCTCGCTGGAGGAGGATGAAGGTGGATTCTCAGCGTCGTGAGGAATCTGCTGGGGACAAGAGTCCAGGCTTCTTGCTTTGGATGGAGCCTGGTTGGCATGTTCCTTTTGTCCAGAGATCACTGAGAATAGAGATGATTTCCATGAGCTCTCAGCCCTGGGTGCTCATCCGTGATCCCTGGATCCCAGACCTGTTCTCAGGATCCTCTCCTTCGCTAGCTACCACCCTGCACCTCAGCACACCCCATGGCATCTTTCTTCTTCCCCAGGGCCATCCGTTCCTTTGAGGCCAGTGATCTGGGAGACAATATCTCCTTTGTGAAATGGCATTACTTATGTTGCTCTCTAACATAATTTCTTTTTCTTATATCAGCATTTGATGGCTTCCTGGGAGTTATTTTCCCATATGTCAGAGACTAGAAAAATTATATGGTAGTCATCTACCAGTGCAGACCATGGTGAAAGGGACAGTGGTGGGAGATCTTGGATAGAGGGCAGCAAGTGGGGAGCAAACTTTAAAATCAACAACAAAGGTCAGCCCTTCTGTTCCTGCAGAGCCTGGTGGACTCCCCAGGTCTGTGACCTTGAGTCACTCTACACCTGAACAAATCACTCCCCTGTGGTTGCTTTCATTCAAACAGCAGTTCACTTAGACATGTATCCCTTCATTCATTTATTCTCTTACACACTCTTGTTGTCTATTGCTTAACAGGCAGTGTTTCAAGTGGAAGGTCCTGTGATCCCTTGGGTCTTGTGTCCATGATCAAACCCCTGGTAACCCTCCACCCATCACTCAGGCTGGCTTTCCTCCCATCCTTACCTTGAGACATGGACAAAGACCTCTTCCTCCCAACTTGCCCTTCCATCCTGGCTGCGTGAGGATCAGCCCCAAGGGATGGTCACTGGCAACATGTGTGTTTCTCCTCCCCATCGGAGGAGATGCCCCAATCTCTCACGAGTTTAGGACTTGAAAAGACAAATCATGTAGATCAACAGCCTCCCCGAAGAGCAGTTGGGACCTGAGGGAGGACCAGGACTTCCAGTAACCCTTGTGTGACCTCATCGCTGACATCATTGAGTTCCAGGGGTCCCCTTCAAACCTAAACAGGGTAACTGCTTAGTCAACTGCTAGCATCCTCTTGTTTCCCCAGTGTTTCAGTGCAGATTGAACTTCATTAAAATTGGTTACTGATATTATGTTATTTCTAGAAATGTGTCCACATGGGTGCAGTTACTCTGTGTATTTTTTCCATTTTGTTTTTATACTTTCTACATCTTCATCCCTGATTTTGCTCATAGCATCCTTCAGTGTTACAATACCAGGCTTTAATTTTTCTGAAGACCTAGTATGTAAATACCCAAAGGTCTGTGGTTCAAATCCATCAGCTGCTGCATGGGAGAAAGAGACCCAGTCTTATCCCCTGCCCCTGCAAACCAGCTAGAAGTTCAGCTTTCAACTGGACAACAATAATAACATTCTCTGTCCCTCTCACACACACTCCCACCCACCTACACTCTCCTCCTACATGCAAAAATTGGAAACAAGAAAGATTGGTAATGGGAAAAGAAGGACTTGGTGACAGAAATGAGGATGCCTATAACTTTATAGGGTCCTATAACATGAATGACACAACATTGCAAATATTTTCTTTTTTAAAAAAGGTGACTATACTCATAGATTTCAAAAAATGAGTATATAGACAGAAAATTGACAACATCAGAGCAGAGAAGCTTCGTATTAGTAGTCAAAACAGGCTAAGGGCCGACTAATATGCAAGTTAAAATTGAAATGAAAGGAAATTAAAGCAGATCCACTAGAACCAAAACATGGTCATGAGTGTATCTTACATGGGTTTTAGAAACTATTTAAGAATAGCTCTGGTGAATTGAAGCCTAATAACCAAAGACCAGAGTAGTGGTGGAGTGACATTAAGGACATTATCCCTGAAGATAGAAAAAGGACAAAAGTGTCAGGGAAGAAGGAAAAGACCAAAATGTATACCAGGGCAGACTTTGAAACTTGGATTTGAACAAAAAGAAGGCACAACAAAAAAGAAGGCTGAGGTAAGAGAGCTCAATAGAAGATTTCAAAGACAGCTCAAGAAGACAGAACAAACTATTAAAATGAAATGGACAAGGAGCTGAAGTTAAAACACAAAAAGAGAAAAACAGGCTCAACATTTCTCAAGCTGAAAGAACTAAAAACCAAACTAAAGCCATGAGTTGCAACACTGAAGGATTTTGTGGACAAAATCTTGAATGATGCAAGAAATATCAAAAGAAAATCAAAGAAGTACACGGAGCCAGTGCACCTAAAAGAATTCTTTAACCATTTGAGGAAATAGATTTGATTAAGAAACAATAGCACTGAAGGAAGACATCCAAGTTGCACTGAATGCACTGACAAAAATAAGGCCCCAGGAATTGATGGAAGGACAGCTGTAGTATTTGATTGGGCCAGCCGTGATGGGGCCAACTGACAGGAAGACTTCTGTACTTGTAGGTGTTCCCAAGAAGCCAGAAGAAACATAGTGTGGAGAATACTGAGCAGTGTCAGTACTATCACATGCAAGCAAACTCTTGCTCAAGATTAGGAAAAACATTGAAACAATGGCTGACAGAAAATTGCCAGAAATCCAAACAGGACCAAAAAAAAAATATTACTAATGTTAGATAGATTTTGGCTCACAGAAAAGAGTACTAGAAAGATGTTCATGTGTGGTTTATTGTCTATGCGAAGACATTTGACTGAGGAATCACAATAAATTAAGGCAAATATTGAGAAGACAAGGCATCCCAGATCGCTTTGTCATGCTCAGGTGAAATCTACACAGACCAAGAAGCAGTTGTCCAAACAAGGTAGTACATAATTGAACTTTTAGTTCAATATCAGTTTAACAATTATAACTTTTGAAAACAAACACAAAATTCTCAGACTCTTTGCAGTCTTTCACTTGAGGGCTCCCTCTGGATTCCGTCCTGAGGAAGTTTTTTCCTTCTCCTCCTTTTATCCTTTTGTTAAGAGTCATCAGGTGTTTTTAAGGCAGCAGATATTGTCACACATCCACTTGAATTTTATGATTTTAACCCATAAGGATACCTGTATTCTTTTTATTGATGAAGTACAGAGGGCTTCATAGGGATAGATACTGTTTGTAGGAAAAAAGGTTGACAGTAGCCCAAGAGGTGTTATGAAGTGGGGTGTTGGCCTAAATTTGGCTTTTTTAGCCATTACTTTAGCCCCCTCTGGCCTCCAGCTATCTTAACTGCAGACATGTGGGCTTGAAAATCATCAACAACTGTGGACAAGGATAAGAGAGAGTGATTCCTACACTGGGTGGCAAGACTTGAGGGAGACTAGAGCAAGAGCCTAGTGGTGAGATCCTGGTTATGGTGATGGAGAGACTGTGGCAAGGTGTAGCCAGAGGAGCCTTGAAATAAAGGGCACAGTTAAAGTTTTGCTGTTCTTGCTGGGTTGATTGAAGGGGGAGCAGACATATAACTGTTTTGAGTCAAACCTTGCTGGATAATTTGGATTTGACTACCGAACTGAAACCAGAACTTTTACTAATACGGAAATTGTGTCTTGCTGCTAGTCTGGCTTGGCACTGCTGGACTAAACCTGGATTTATATTGTGAGATTTCTTTGCCTCTCCCACTCCCCAACCTATTTTCTTAATAAACCCTACTCTTGGTACCATCACTGTGAGTAAAGTCTGTGAGTCAACAATGAATAAATATACTTTTGCTGTTGGTGTGACTCTAGAGGGATCATGGAGCTTGCTATGAGCTCTTTTATCTGCTTTCTGCCCTGGGACAGTGACAAGCTGTGCTATTTTCATGCCCTCTGGCCTTTTTAGAAAGATGTGTATGGCGCTGTGCCCTTATGTCACATTTTCCACTCTGAAGGCACCAAGACCTTCCAGTTTTGAAGAATTGAAGTGTTAACCAGGCTAGTGAGGTGCTAGTCATGAAGCACAGCTAACAGTAACAACAAATCTGTGGTTGGTGTTTTTGTTGTTTGTTTTTTTTTGACAAGTTGTCATGCAACGAATGAATCTTGGAAAAACCAACAATAATTTGCAATTTGCCTGTTTTCTTATCCTCAAATAGCGCAATTGAAAATCAAGATTGCCATCACTGTAAAAATGTAATCTGAGAATATCTGAATGTTTTATTGGTCAATCTATATGAGCTCTAACGGCAATTAATGTGGACATACCTGAAATCAATTGGCATGTGATCAGAGCCAAGATTGGGAAGTCAAAGTCCGTGATTCTGTTCTTCCCCATGAAGAAGGAGGCTACCTGTCAAAGGCAACTGTGATGATTAAGTAGAAAATTGAATGGGAAAGCAACTAGTCAACTCTCAGTTAAGAAGATAGTAGTATTTATTGATAATTATGATTGTTGTACTTACCTGCCTTACACTGAAAAGGCTTAAGAGAATAACTTGCTCTATCACCAATTAGAAGAAAGAATTTCCCTATGAAACTTAGGTGTGACCTTTGTAAAAGATAAGAAATACTCTTTAATATGGAGCTCTTAAAGGGAGCTCTGGAGGTCTAGTGGCGAGAAGCTGCACTGCAATCCCAGAGGTGCGCGGCTCAAATCCACCGGATGCTCTGCTGGAGAAGGAGGGGCAATCTCCTCCTGTACCAGTCAGATCCGATTTGACGGTACACATACAAAATATAATAAAATAAATAAATAAAAGCAAAAAAACCCCACCCCACCCCAAATATGGAGCTCTTAAAGTGGTTTCTTTGCTGCTAGAGGTGCCTGCAACCAGGAACCTTTAACTTCGGGTCTCATTTGACAATGCTGTATGTCTTGATTGTGGAGGGATTGGATACCTGGATACTGATCAGCATTCATTTGCAGAGGAATATACTTTTCTCAAAGAGGTGGGACTGAATAAATGGATCTGTGCTGTGAGTTGGGGCATGAATGGTTGAATTTTTTTGAGGGGAGGGAGAAGCTTATTATTATCAAACAAATTTGATGGTCTAGGCACCACGTGTTTAAAAAAAAATTTTTTTTTTTTGGAACCAGACCTTGAGGATCACTGAAGTGAAGCATAGGGTTGTGTGAAATGGATGACCTAGAACAAAAAAGTTTCA